CCCCGGGGCAGAGGGGGGGGGGGGGGGCCCCCTCCCGGGGAGCCAGCAGAGCCCATGCCAGCCCCCCGCCTCAGCCTCCATTCCTGCCTTGCCTCACCTCGGGAAAGAGCCACTGCCTACCCCGAGTGAGGCTCCACCAGCTCTGGGACACTGCTCAGCTCCTCAGCCCTGATGCCACGTGCCTCCTCACTACCCGAGGCAATGCAGGGGAGGGAGCAGTGTCCCAGAGCCGGTGGAGCCTCACTGGGGCAGGCAGTGGCTGCTCCCTAAGGTGAGGCAAGGCAGGGATGGAGGCTGGGGCGGGGGGCTAGTGTGGGCTCCGGGGAAGTGCGCCGCTCCCCGGCCCTGATGTGGGGGAGCGGAGCATTTCCCCGGAGCCGGCAGAGCCTGTGCCAGGCTCCTGCCCCCACCTCTCCTGATGCACGGCCTTGAAAAGGCTGTGCACAGCCACACTTTTAGTTGTGTGTGGCCGCACACGCACACACCTTAGAGGGAACCTTGGGGTCTACTACAACAGTGAATGTTACAACACGACATATGTTTATTAGGAACTGGGCAAATGAACTCTTAATTCACACAGACCAAAAAGTTATCAGACCGTATCAAATTTCAAGTACTGTTGAACCTGAACAGAATCAAAACTGGTGATCTAGAATAAGAGGCTTTCCATAACATGACCAATATTGCAAGCAATCAGAGTTCACTGTATTTACCATCTAGCAAATGTTAAAAAAGTGACAGGAGAATTGAAAATTTACCTATGAATGTCTGTTGTGCCTGTGAGTTTCCCCCTACCCTTGGGGAACACGAATGAGGGTAGTTAGATGCATTAGCACCCATTTTCTTCAGTCATTCAGGCATTCCACCTGCTGTCTCTTTAGGGTATAATCCCATAATCCTTTATAAACCGTCAGCCTCAGATCCAGCACTCTGTTCCTCCATTTCTAAAAAAAAGAGAGACACAATAAATTCCTTTGTTTTAAACAACTGTTTCCACTAAGTTAGGTGGAAAAAAACCTCATTTGCTAGCACAGGGGTTTTCAACCTTTTTTCATTTGTGGATCCCTAAAAAATGTCAAATGAAGGTGCAGACCCCTCTGAATTGTAAGTGTGGGTATTCACATACGTTTGATTGCTCATAGTTATCTTTCATGGACCCCTTAGACATTGTCTGCAGACCACAGGTTGGAAACCACTGCACTAGCACAAAGTATCTTTTCAAGATATATATAGATATATACACATAGATACATACATACATGCACACAGTTTAAAGTCATTTTGAGAGAGAGTTTTGCTTCCAGAAGAATACTTTTCTCCCAAATCATTATTACTGATGCAATTCTATGTAAAATACAAAAAATATAGAAAATTAGGGTTGGCAGGAACCTCAGGAGGTCATCTAGTCCAACCACCTGCTCAAAGCAGGACCATCCCCAACTAGATCATCTCAACCAAAGTTTTGTCTAGCTGGGTTTTGAAAGCCTCCAAGGATGGAGCTTCCACCACCTCTCTGGGTAACCTGTTCCAGTGCTTTACTTCCCTCCTAGTAAGAAAATTCTCCCTAATATCTAACCTAAACGTCCCTTGCTGCAACTTGAGAGCATTGCTCCTTGTCCTGTCATCTGCCACCACTGAGAACAGTCCAGCTCCATCCTCCTTTAGACCCTGCCTCAGGTAGTTGAAGGCTGGTCCCCTCTCAGTCTTCTCTTGTCTAGACTGAATAAGCCCAGTTCCCTCAGTCTTTCCTCAGAAGTCATGTCCCCCAGCCACCTCACCATTTCTGTCACCCTCCGCTGGACTCTCTCCAACTTGTCCACATCCTTTCTATAGTGGGAGGCCCAAAACTGAACACAGTACTCCAGATGTGGCCTCACCAGTGCTGAATAGAGGGGAAGAATCACTTCCCTTGACCTAGTGGCAACACACCTACCAGTGCAGCCCTGTATGTTATTAGCCTTCTTGGCAACAAGGACGCACTACTGGCTCATATTCAGCTTACTGTCCCCTATCATACCCAGGTCCTTTTCTGCAGAGCTGCTGCCCAGCCAGTCAGCCCTCAGCCTGTACTAGTGTATGGGATTGTTCCAGGACTTTACACTTGTCCTTGCTGAACCTCATGAGATTCCTTTTGGCCCAATCTTCCCATTTGTCTAGGTCACTGAATCCTCGTTCTACCCTCCAGCACGTCTACCAATCCCCACAGCTTGGTGTTATCTGTAAACTTGCTGAGGGTGCACTCTATGCTATCTTCCAAGTCATTGATGAAGACATTGAACAAAACTGGCCCACTTTAATACCAGCTGCCAACTAGGCATCGAGCCGTCGATTGCTACCCTGTGAGCCCAATGTTCCAGCCAGTTTTCTATCCACCTCACAGTCCATTCATCCAGCCCATATTTCCTTAGCTTGTCTGGGAGAGTGCTGTGGAAGACTGTCAATAACCATCCATCACAAGCATTTAGCAGACTAGTTTGCAAGTAAGTGTTTGGCTGCCCTAAAAAGTTACTTGTTTAACTATGTAAAAATAAGCCCTTTAATGAATTTGCAGTTATATTAGCATAAAGGTCAGCATTTTCACTTATTCCAACTGAGGAAGCAGAACATACTAGATTCAGAGATATCCCCTTTATACCAACATAGTTGTTTCCATAATATGGTTCGCAGTAGGTTTAATTCATAGGCAGTTATGCTCCCACTCAGTTACACTAAGCAGAAGACCAGAAGAGACCTACAAGTTGAGCTGCTTTTAGTCATTTCAAATGCCTTATCTGAAAACTTACAGAAAAATATATGATCCACATTAAAGTCTCCACAAAAGCCTGGTAACAGCAGCCACAGCAGCCTCTCCTCCAACAATGACTGCTCAAGTTAGGGCAACCCCTGTGATCCAGACATTCGTAAGTCAGACACAAGGTTAACACCTTTTTTGATGGACCACCCCCACTTTCATACTTCAGCCTACTTACATTGCCCTGACAGCACCCTACATACATCACAGGTTCCCTGCTCCCACTGCTGGCTCTGTTCCCCACACCCAAGTTCTTATGCATCAACCTGACACCCAGCTGCAGCACATGCGTGACCAAGACCTGCCACCCCACTCCCAAAAACTTTCCCAGAGGTAGCAGGAAGCATAGTCAAAGGGTTGGGGCAGCTGGCCCCTCTAAACATGCCAACAGGACCCCCAGTTAGGACTGTCCTTGGAATCCCTTCACAGCTTTGCTGCTAGGAAACCTGTTGCCCACTGCCCATTCCTCATTTCTGCGGCTGACGCTGGAAGTCAGTCAGAATTGGGACCTGTTAGCAACACACCCTGCTTGTCCCCTGGGTGGTCCCTACTTACTGGGTCAGCAGCATATAGAAACCAACATTCTGTACCACTTCTAGCCCTGCTCAAGAAATTCAGCACCCCACCACGTGAACAGATTATCCTCGACCTCTCTAACCTCCAAGGTGGCATGCTGTATAGGCCCAGTGACACAGGTCCAAGTGGCAGCTACCCCACCTCAGGGCACCAAATGAAAAAGTTCCCTTATTCCATACTGTGAATCCACCACCTCAAACTCTATTTTTCATATAATAAGGCAATTTCTCCCACCTCTCCACAGGGTTGCAAAGAATATGATCTTCACTATCGTACGGTTCTCACACTGCTGATGTTCATTCCAGGACTGTAACAACACCGTCCCACAAATCTGTGCCTTTTCTCCACCACACAGAATCAATCATAAACAATCTGAATAATCAATTAACTGCTGTCATCAAATATGTGCCTTACACATGCCTCTGCTACCCTCTCCCTGCATTTGTATTGATTGGTAGGTGGTAGATTGGGTCCTCTGGTTTACTGTCTAGTAAACCCTCAAACAAGACTAAGATTCTTCTTAAAATTATCTTTCAAAGACCACAGGTACTCAGAAAACCACATCAAATAAGAGGTGCATGGCATGGGGAGTACTTCTTTGGCAACCCCAAAGTTTGGCTTTCTTTATAGAAACTAAATCTGCATGTGAGACTTGTTTCCTTCTTTCTCTATTCAGCAACCATTTCACCACCCAGGAGAGGTGACCCTGAAAAAAGGGGAAGCGATAAAAGATGTTAAGCAAGGTTTCAGGTTCTATCACAGCTACCAACATCGGTGATCACTAGGATTTCAATACCATTTAATTTCTGTGTCTGCTAGATGTTTGTGGTGTAATCCCGGGAGGGGGAAAAAAAAAGTATTGTACATCTCAAAGCTCTAGTGGAGTCTCCAGAAGATGAAGGTGCTTGCGATCTTATCAGAAGGGCCAAAGGACTTCCCAAAAAGAACAAATCTTTATGCAGTAAGATACCACCATATATCAAGAGTTTTCTATCTCTTGGTCACATAAAGCCTCTAATGAAAACCTTGCATACGCAAGAAATGAGACTGGCACCAAAGTCTATGCAACAAGTTCTGCAAATGTCTTCATGGTGTTCTGGTGTTAAGTACATTCATTAAAATGTGGGTGCAAAAGCTTTTGAAAGTTTCAGGCATGAAAACTAAAAGAGCATGTTACCCAGTGAATATTACCAAATAATAACTAAAGTCAATTCTTTCAACTAATCAGGCGATCCACTGTAAATCCTACATCTTGGAGGATTATGGCAAAAACCCATAACACTCCTGATTGGGGGAAGGGAACAGTTACGTTACCCATATGCAACATACACTACTTAGTATGAAGACCATAGCAACCACTGATCTTCGTTGAGCCAATGCAGTTAGTACTGCAGCCAGCCTTTCTGCAATGAGCCCATCAATTTCACTGAACATCTCAGCCAATACAGAGAGACATCTGATGAATTATGCTGTCTCATACAATATAATGATGACCAACGGCATAGGAAAATCAAGAGACATTGAGGAGAAACCTGTTAAATTATACACATGCATACATTCAGTTGTAAAAATTCAAGACCATCTTTCTTTGCAGCTGTTGATGATGCTCAAAACATAAAAGTTAAAAGTAAAGCTTCCTGTTCTATTAACAACTGCAGAGAAAAGTTCTGGGAGGCGAATTTCTACTAGCAGGAAGAAAAACTCATTTTTATAAAGCAGTATTTTTTATAAATGCATATCTATGTATATCCTTATAACAGTTTATTACCAGAAATGAACTAGTTAAACTCAGAACAGAATATAAGACAGAAATTCCAATACACATCACAGAGAGCAGATCATAAAAATGTGTGCGCACACATACATACATACATACATACATACATATATATACACACACACACAGAAGTTAAGTGACAGTGCTATACCTCTTGATAAGAGCAAGCCTTAAATGTACTAACTGCTTTTTGAAAATAGAGTTTGGAAGCCACCAAGGCAGAAATATCCAAATAGGTCAGAAGTCAAAACTGGTTCTTAGTTTGGGGGGGG